AAAAAAAAAAAAAAAAAAAAAAAAGGATGCACAAATGGCAAAAGGTATAGAAAAAAGTGTTCAACGTCATCAGTCATCAAGGAAATCCATATTTATTTTATTGTCTTATATATTATGGGGTCAATATATATTTTTTAGTATTTGTTGTCTAGTATCTAAAATATTTAGTTTCTACTTTTAGAGCAGTTTTCAATTATTTTGATTAAATCAGCTTGTCAAACAAAACAAATGATTTGGTATTAGTTTCTAATGATATTAGATTGCCTAATTCCTAGAATTTCTTTGAATTTAAGCCACACTATTGTCTAGGTAGAATGTCTGTGTTCCTAATTCATTGGCCTTTTTTCCATTTTCCTCCTTATCACCATTTTTCTACCCAAGTGTTTGCAGTGCTCATGCAGCACAGGCAGGAGGAGAGAGAAAGTTTGCATTAGCTGAAATAAGCAAGATATTTGAATATCTCTTCTCTGCAAAGTTTTATGGTGATCAGTATCTAATGTGTTCATATTTGCATAATTCTCATTTTGGATTATTGTCTAATGGAGGAAAAGGAGTAATTGTTACAGTAGCAATTTTCTCAATATGTATTTTCTATTAAGTTCCACCTATATTGAACTTTCCCTTTTAGAATTACAAGATGAACACTTAAAAGAATCAAATGAGAAGAAGAATCTTTTGGCCACTGAACTAGAAGATATTAAAATATCCTTGCAAAAAAGTGTGGTATGATTTAAAAACTGACTAGAGTGTAATAAGTCACACATATTTTTTTTTATTTATTTGTACTGGGGATTGGACTCAGGACCTTGCACTTGCAAGGCAGGCCTGGCGCAGCTAAGCTAAATCCCCAGCTTATTTTAAAATTTAATTTATTAAAAATTTTTTTCACTCTGTCAATTAGTCTGCAAATTTATTAAATAATAAAACTGTGTATAAGGATCCAGAGCTTCAACTAGAGAAGGCACAATCCAAAATGCTTATATTAGAGACATTGGATAAAAGTGCGTGAAAAGTATAACTAAAATACAAGACCAATCTAGGGACCAACAGAGTGATTCAGGCTAATTAATTGCTATAACAGTTTTAAGAATTAAAAGAACTCTATGGGCTAGGTTGGATGGGAAGATTTCATGGAATCTTCATGGAATTGGAACTATATATGAGATATGGAGAATGGTATAGTGAGATAAAAGTAGTGTGTTGTTTGTATTCCTGAGGGACTAAGAGGGATGGTGGATAGGACAAAGTGGAAGGCAGGAAGGAGCAGCAAATTTACAAAAGTGAATGATGTTTTCTTAAGGCCTTTGGATCACTGCTTTTGTTCTATATTTTATTTCATATTAGAGTACTCAAAAGGCTTTAGAAGAAGATTTACAGAGAGCAAAAACAGCAGTATGTCAGCTTACTGAAGAAAAAAAAGCTCAAGTGGAAGAATTTGATAAAGCTAAAGTTGCTCATTCAATTATGGTTACTGAACTTAAAACTACTATCTGCAACTTGGAGGAATTATTAAGAACAGAACAACAAAGGTGAAATATTTTTTATTTTAAATCAAATACTTGAATAAAAAATTTACTTTTGATATTTAGTGTCATTTATGTTCATTGCTGTTCATAACATAAAATATGTATGAAGTAGGAGTACATTTTGAAAGTTTGTATTGGGCAAGCAGTATTCTCTAGAATAGTTCCCATACATGCTTTACTGTAAAGTCAAGCTATAGGGACTGGTTCCTAAGTGCTAATATAGTGATATGATATACATTTATTGAAACTATGTGTTATTACTAGCTTTTTTAAAAAACAAAACATTTAGTAGCACATTTTAGATAAACATAATAATAACCTTCATCATAGGGAACTTTTGCTTGTACTTGACATATCCTGCTTTTTTTCTTATTCCCTCCCTTTGACCCCTCTTCTCTTCCTTAGTGACACAAGCTGTTTTCATTTTTCCTTCTATTCTTTTTCTTTCCTCGTCTCTTTTCTTCTCTTCCACCTGCCTTGTTCCCCTTCTCATTTGAACATTCTGTTCCTATTTCCCAATATCTATTATATGTTTTGGTACTTATTTCCACTTTTGGTTACTCACACGAGAAACAATGTGGTATTTAAACATATGTGTTTATCTCATTTAAGAGTATGATCTCAAGGTGCATCCATTTAGCTACATATGTCTCAAGCTTATCCTTCTTTATTGCATAGTAGCACTCCATTATATTAAAAAATGCATCTTTTTTTCCACTTGTCAGTTAATGGGCCTTTGGAGTGTTTCCAAAATTTAGCTATTGCAAACTGCGCTGCTATAAATATGGCTGTAAATATATTATTGTGGTATGATGCTAGGAATAACTTGTAGGATGGGGGTTTACTTTACCTTTATATATATATAAATAAATAATATATAAATCAGGTTTACCTTTTTTCTGATATATAAATTTAACAACTATCCTGGAATATAGTAGATAGTACTCTTTGCTTATTAAATTAATGGCCATGCTTAACTATATATATGTATGTGTTTTATCTAAATAGTTTGACTAAAACTTGAGTGTTAAGAGATTGGTTCTGTTTTTCATGACTTTACATTAAAGAAATATTTATGTGAAGCTGTTGGGAGGTAATTATTTTGTCAATTTTACATTGGGGTTAATTTTAGTAGAGTAAAAGAGAGGAATAGATTTTTCCCTGAAGAGAGTATTTCAGTATCATCTGAAGACAGCCTAGTCCGGGTGTGGTGGCACACGCCTGTAATCCCAGCACTTGGGAGGTTGAGGCAGGAGGATCGCTGTGAGTTGGAGACCAGCCTGGGCTACACAGTGAGTTCCAGGTCAGTCTCAACTATATAGTGAGACCCTGTCTCAAAACAACAACAGCAGCAGCAACAACAACAACAACAACAACAACAACAACAACAACAAGAAGACAGCCTACCAGTATTTCTTATCTATTGTTTGTGCATGGAGAGGAGGGAAAAGCTAGCTTTTCTAGCTGCACTAATCTTACACAGTCTTCACTGATGATCTATGCAGACAACTTTTACAGTTTTAAAATTGTGAGTTATATTAGATTCATCTAGTCGAGTATTTCAGTTTTATAGTTTGAGGAACAAGCCAGAGGAGTCAAGAAAATGACACATATTATGTGGTTCTTAAGGTAGAATTTAGTAGTAGTTACATATTCATTCTTTTTCAAAATTCTAGGATGAATTAATTTGATTACCAGTAAAGAAAAATTATAACTAATAAGGTTTAAGTGTTTTTTTTTTTTTTTTGGTACTGGGGATTGAACTAGGTTTAAGATTTTATGTAAATGTAATTAATATGAAATTATGTATTTATTATAATATTGTCTTATTTAAAAATATATACAAAGTAGATAATGTTTAATGCTGTCTTTTGAGTGATTTTTGTTAAAATACGTTAATTGGTAAATTGTACAAGTTTTAATTTTTAATAGTAGTTGAATTCTGATTAAAAGAACATTTTACATTGTAAAATAATGTATTTTTATAAGATTGGAGGAAGATGAAGATCAACTGAAAATACTTAGCATGGAGCTTCAGAAGAAATCAAGTGAGCTGGGTAAGATTTAGACAATGATGTGTCCTTTGATAATATTGGCTAATTTTAAGAACATAACTGAATAGAGAAAATTTAAACCTTAAACACTTCTGTTTTATTATGTAGTTCATAGATATTTAGAAGTATAAGTAGCCTATTAGATGTTTGTTATCCTTAATAATTCTTAGAAGTGTTTGCTATATTTTAAATAAATTAAAAATTTCATTGCTTAATCTTATTGGATTAATAACTACTTATAATAGGAAAATGTGATCCTGTGTTATCATATGGTGTTATTAATATGTAATAATTTTCATGACCAAAAGAGGTTCTGCAATTATTTTGTGAATTTATGATCATTTAGTTGGCTAATGCTAATAATCCATGATTAATATTTATAGATCTGCATATTTTCAAGTATAGAGAATTTTTTAATATCTTTTTAGATCCAAAATATATTTTTCTAATTTCAACAAAAGAATTATTTTTATAAATTAGTTTTATGAATGGATAGGTATTTTTCTAAACTATCTTCTCAATTTTCTGTAAGCTTTATTAGTTTGAAACCTTGTATAATTAAAATAATTACAACTAGTATTACTTAGAATTTGAAATGTTTACTTAACATTTCAAAAGTAGCTTGGCATGGTGATGCATGCCTATAATTCTAGCACTTGGGAGGCTGAGGCAAGAGGATTACCATGAATTCAAGGTCAGCCTGAACTACAATAGCAAGATCCTATCTCAAAAAGATGACCAAAAAAAAAAAAAAGCCCATCTTGTTGAACTCTCAAACCATATGTATGCTTTTCATTTTGAAATAATTAATTTCCATTGTTAAAGATTAACTCACTATCATTCAAAATTGTACTTATGCAAATCCAATAATTTTATTCTTAGGATTATTTTATGTTAGAATGGTTTGAAATGCATTCCTTACCTAATTTTAAAATCTTTCTTCAGAGCATAAACTGTTTTAAACCACTGCAGACATTTACTTTCTTTGGAATTGTTTAATGTTATAAACTAAGGAGTACTTGTGCTCCTTGTGATATCTCTATTGGATATTTATAACGGTTCAGTCTAATATTGAAATTAATTAACTTATTTGTCTTCTACAAATTCAATTGTATTTTGTGATTTTCTCATTAGAGCAATACGTTATGAGAAGTTTGAATACTATGTTGTGAGTAAAACATGACACCCTTGAGAAATTTCTAATTCTTTTAAGAGAAAGGTTGAATACATACAACCATTTAAGCAATGGGATGGAATATGAGGGGTGACCGAAAATTATGTTAGGGTACAGGAAGAAAATATTAGAATTTAAACTTGTATTTATTTTTAATGTTTATAATGAATAATATAATACATGCTTATATTATGATGTATAAAATATAAATATGCCTTTGTAGTTTTACATATTTATATACTTGGAATAAGTGCTCATAAATTTCTTGTTTATGGAGAGTGTTATTGCGGATGCCAAGAGGAAGCCAGTGATAACAATGAAGACTGCAGAGAGTTAGAAAAGGCTGTATAGAAGAGGTATAGAAAGGCTTTGGATAGTTAAAGAGGGTAATGCAGTATAGAAAACCTATGTAGGAGAGTAGTATTAATAGTCACATAAGGACTCAACCATACTTGCTTCTCTGGCTAACAGTATAGTCTCAAAATCATAAATCTTGGAGGATATTCTGTCTTTTTGTTTCTCTTATGCATCACTGCTAACTGGTAATTTGGTGCTACTATTTCTAATTTTTAATATTTGATTTATAAAATACAACTAATTTGAGGGTTCCTAACTACTAAATAACTTGGGGTGTGTGTGTGTGTGTGTGTGTGTGTGTGTGTGTGTGTGTGTGTGTTTCTGAACCCTGGGACACTCTACCACTCTCATGCCCAGCCCTTTTTATTTTTCATTTTGAGACAGGGTCTTACTAAATCGGCCTCAAACATGTAATTTTCTGGCCTCAGCCTCCCAGTTAGCTAGCATTACAAATGTATGCTACCATGTTTAACTGAACTTTTGTCTTTTTCTCTTTCTTTTTTTGTTGGGCGGGTGGTGATTTGAAACAGGGACTCACTATGTACTTTAGGCTACCCTTAAACTTGTGGTTATCCTCCAGCCTCAGTCTCTGAGTGCTGGGATTACAGGCATGCACCAAAACTTTTTTTTTTTCAGCTTTAATTGAGTTTGTTGGTACATTTTAGGGATACAGTACAGTTACATCCATTGTTGGGATCTTGTACCTCTACATGACAAGTCTTGATTCTCATTTTTTCCCCTTACCCCTGCCCTCCCTTCACCCCCTCCTCCCCTCCCCATCTACAAACACTTTATTTTCATCTTTTCATTATCTCATATTTTTTCTTTTCCCTTATTACCCTTCCCATACCCATCCCACCTTCCCTACACCTTTAGCTGATTTCTTCCCATTACACACCAAAACTTTTGAATCTTTCCCTTTTCTTTTATATTTGCATACCCAGAACAGTTCATGTATATGAACGTGTATGTGTACAAAACAAGAACTGTATCAGATTAATCATCAAGTCATACTTCAGGCTATTCTAATTTGTCTGCATATTTGCTTAGCCTTCACTATATTTACTCAACTTCTGTTTGCTTTGCCTTTTGTAAGCTTTCTTACCCCAGTAGCCCTCAAGTTTTATTGTTTTATTTCCTGGCTAAACTTTACTTGCTGCGTTTGATGGCATTTTCTTAGGCTTACATCTGGGTTATAAAGTGTTTCTCTGTCATCTCCAATTCTAAAACCTCTTTTTATCTATGTTCTGCTCAGATACAGCATGTGCTGTACTCTATACCTTGATGTTGAGAGCTGGACCAGACATGTTAGACCAGTACTAATTGAAATAATTTGAAAATCAGTCTGTTTCCAGTTATATATACCTTTTGTTCATTCTGTATGTTAATGCTAGAATGTTCCTTTAAAATACATATCTGATTATTCGGTGTTGCAAATTTATTTATTTATTTATTTATTTATTTATTTATTTTTGGTGCTGGGGATTGAACTCTGGGACCTTGCACTTGTGAGGCAGGTGGTGGAACCACTGAGCTAGATCTCTTGCCCGCAAATTTAAAAACTTATCTCACTGCCAAGTTTAAACTCTTTAATATAAGCTACTTTTTTATTGTTGGCTTAAAGAGTAAGGATATCACATACAAAGTAAGTTAAAGCCAACTTTAATATAAAATCTTTGTCAAATGATTGCTTGCCTCCCTTACTCCCTCTTTTTCTACCTTCCTCCCTCCTATCTGCCCTTCCAGGAGAGATTTACTTTGGCTCATGTTTTTTGGCTTCTTTACTTGATATAGTTAGTTCACTTTGGTACTTCTATGTCTCCTCCCATCTCAATTCAGTCTAAATATTGTTCTAAATAGGTCTTAATCCTCTGGTCTTTTTTTTTAAACCTGTGTGATAATTTTTCTGTTTCTACACCCATCTTTGCTTTCAGTATGGCTATGTAACATATTCTTAAGTGTGTTCTAATGCTTCTGCTTTGATGACTAGATACTTAATATAGCTATTGGATGAAGACTTATTTATTCCCACTTTAGCCTTGTATGTATTATAAGGAACAAAATAGACATTTTTTTTCTCATGAGATTTGCATTCTACTTAGGATAAAACAAATAATCACAAATAAACAGTTACAGATTGGGCTAAATGCTATGAAGAAAATAAAAATAATCCACTGCAAGGGCTGGGGACTTAGCTCAGTGGCACCACGCCTGCCTTGCAAGCACAAGGTGTTAAGTTTTGATCCCCGGTAACAGAAAAAAAAAATCAATCAACATAATGCAATATAAGAAAGTACTAGGCCCCAATTTAGCTTTGGTGATCAGATGTGGCCTTCATCAAATGAGACTTAAAAAAATAAGCGAGATTTAAAATATTAGATAAAGCTTGGGGTTGGAGAGAACTTTCCAGTCTGGGAAAGTGTGTAGAAATGCTCTGAGGTGTAAGGAGCTTGCTTCATTTAAGTGTTTGAAAAATCTTTGTGACTATCTAAGAAGTGATATGGAGAGAAATTGATATGAGTACAGGGACAATTTAGGTATGGTCAAAAAATGAATTTTTATTTTATTTTAACACTAACGGAAAGCTATTGGTATTGAGAGATTTTAAGTGAAGAAATGACATAATCTGGTTTATACTTTTTTAGGGCTCCCTATATTTTTTATGTGGCTCATAAATTTGATGACAGGTGGTAGGTAGCTAGTGAGGAAAGAGTGGAAGCAGACAAATGGGATTGTAGGTTATTTGAGTGGTCCAGGCATGAAGAAGTATCATTTAAAAATAGAATCATATCAGCATCTTTTGCTGCCTTTTCTGAAAGTCTCATTAATTTGAAGATAGTGTATCTGTTTTTTTAATTTCTGAAAAAAATTTCCTTTTATTTCCTCCTTTCTTCTAAATCTTACTGTTCTCAGGAGCACTGGGTGGAAAGACTTTGGAAATTCTTTATATATCCTTCATGTGTGCTTTTTAAAACTTTGTTTTATGCTTTCTCTCTCCTTATTCTTTTTCCTCAATATGGGGAAAAGGTTTTCTGGCCTCTCCTTTGCTAATTATTCTTTTCTGTTTTACTATCTCTGTTAAAATCTCTGTTGCCAAATTTTAAATTCTCAAGAGCTATAGATAATGTGAGACATACTATCCTGTTGTATCATATTATGTTTAGCAAAATAACTGCTTCTCTTTTCTCTGTTAACTTTTCTATTTAAATTTTAGTTTTCTTTTAGTTGAATTTGGGGCCTTTCATGTTTCAGTTTTTTTTCACATGTGGTTGATACTTGATGTTTTATTCATCTAAACATTTGAGAGTCCATCTTCACATACATGTGAATTATAATATGATTCTTTTGATTATGGGAAATTGTAGGAGGTACTGCAAGAAGAAACAGGTTTGGTGGGTTGTCTTTTGGCATAGGGCAGTGATGGAGCTTTCGGTGATAAACAGCCCATGGTAGCATGCATTTTGTAGGTTTGCCATGACTGTTATAGAGAATGTTTATCTTGCTTGGGGATCATGAGGTATTTGGGACATGGCAGTATTGTTGATCCTAGTTTCCAGAATTTTTGCTTTAAAATTTATGGTGGGAGACATGATCGCCTAGTCTAATTGTTCCATCTAGCCTCATTGAATTAGTGCAAGCCCCCTCAAGGGTTCCTTAGTTACTTGGTTTGTTAAGTGTGTCTGTCTTGTTTTGGTAATGTTTTCCTTTACCCCCTTTTCTTCTGTCTTTTCTTCTAATTTTATAAGATTGAGATGAGAATGTAGACTTTTCAGTCCATTGTCTGAAGTCAGTCCTCACATTTAAAAATATTAAGTATTTTTTACCTAAAATGAAACTTTCTGATTAAGTTTTACATGTGACAGCCTTTTCTTTTAGATTCTGTATTTACTTTGCATGTTTTGTGATTGTTTTTCTTAAAGATGATGGACAATCACTACAGACGTTGTTAAAAAATGCACAACCTGAGAAATTGTTATATTTCTGGTAACTTAACATTAAGGAGAGACGAGATTTCAGGCAATGCATTTGCTTCTGTAGTCAGATAAAAATGTAAGAAAAGAGAAAAAGTGAGATTTGGGCAAGATTTTTCAGTTCATTAACATAATATTGAATTCATGGAAATATAGAAAAGCATTGTAAAGCACTATTATTTAGGGTGACAAGGAGGACATTTGTTTACAAAGAGAACAAGAGTAGGAGGTTAAAAGGAAATAAGAGAAATGAATAATGCTGGGTCTTTAACTTTATTAATACCATGGAGATAGGCATTAGTTTTGCAAGAAAGAGACATGTAGTTGACAAAATGAGAAATTTGAAAATAGTTTGAAAGGGCAGGAAGGTTAATTACATAATTTTGTTTTTATATTCACACGGGATATATAGGGGGAATAGGAGACATATATATATATATATTTTTTTTTTAATATAGCAGCTGAGGTGTTAAAGGAGGTGGGGATGTCAAAATCCAAAGTACAGTGTTAACAATTAGGTTGAGAAAAGATCACTTGGAGTAAAGATTAAGAGGCTAAGGTAGGTTTGGATAGTGATTGAAGGTAAAGGCATTTTCTGACTTCATTCCAAATATATTTTATGTAGACCTATTTCTTATTTTGCTTTATGCATTTTGGGCTCATTTGACTATGGAATAACTTTATAGAATTGTTACTGCCGTTTTACTTTTGTATAGCTGCTTCAGAATCCCTGTATGATTCTTCTATGCTTTACAATGCTCTAGTTGCATTGATCTATCTCTTTTGATATTTTTCCCTTCAGATACCATTATTTCCTTTCTCACCTTTCCTATTTTTTAATCAAGCTTTTAACATGTGTGTATTCTTTTGCTATTTTAGAAGAGATGACTGAGTTTAAAAATCACACAGAAGTAGAAGTTGAAGAATTGAAAAAAGTCTTAGTAAGTATATAGTCTTTCCTATTAATATATAGCAATTGCTTTTCAAAATAATATGGAGTCCACTGACTCCACAGTAAATGTTTCATACTAATTTTCACCTAAAAAATGAAAAAATGGTAATAAAGTTCAGTGTTTTTATACC